ATTTTAAAATTAAAAATCATGTAAGTTTCTAATTTTAAAAAAAAACAATAAAATTATAATTAAGATATGAAAATAAGATAAGATAAATCATCATCATTTCAATTTAAGATATATAAAAAAAAATCTCCTGCTAAGTCAATATGTATATTTGAGAGACGAGGCCGCTAGTTTTAGTCTATCTTTATAAGTCTATCTAAAAAAACGAAAAAAACGAAAAAATAAGGAAACTTTTGGATGAATTGTTTATAGGCACACAGCATTTTCCCTTATTATTTATGAATTGACCCTTTATTTTTTGTAGTTTCCTTACTATGATCTACGGCTTCCACACGTTTTGGACGCATCTATTTGCAGCTTACCATACGAGGATTCATATATTAGTTTGATCTATTGAGTAAATCTTTCATACATTGGTTCTTCGAGTATAAACTACTACAAAATATAAATTTATTAGGAATTGTTTCATAATTATAACAATATTTGAGTAAAAATCATTTTAAATACATATTATAATGACATTTCTATAATTTTTTATTATATATATTTAGTAGCATGTATTTAATTTTTTTTAAAAAATATCAATTTACTAACATTGGATCTCAATGTGCTTGTTTCAAATACTATTAAAATTTAATGACAGTTTAAAACAAATGTCTCTATATCCAATATTAGTAAAAATATACCACAATTACCACTAAAAAATTTTTTAAAAAAAAAAACCACTCAAAAATATAGCAATGGAAATCATGAAATTCCGTTATAATGTGAGTAAAGTTTTAGACAAACGCCATTAAAAATTAATTTTGTTGAAGTGATCTCAAATTATTCATAAAAAAATTAGTATTTTTTTTATTAAAAAAACTTTGTTAATATTAAAAAAATGTGTGATTAAATTGAATCTAATATTTTTTTATTATTTTTTTCTATTGTAATTCTTTAATTTTGACCTATCCTACTAACATTAAAAATCAGAATATAAAAATATGTGGCATCCAATAATTTATCGAATTTGATTTTCTATTGAACCTTCCAAAATTAACTTTCCAAACATAGATATACAAAAAAATATGTGTAATCCAAACAAAAATGTAAAAAATATATATATATTTTCATAAAAAAATAATTATGTAGGAGGATATTTATAATATTTATTAGTGATATAGTGATATAAAATACATGGTCGAAATAATTCTTATACTTATATTTAAACATTTTTTTTTCATGAAATAATCATACCAACTTAAGTTTTAAAACGAAAAATATGAAAATTGCAATACATCAAGGAGCCCACTTATGTTTTTTGGAATCACTGAGGCTGGATGTCCCACAATCGCAATACAACAAGGAAGAAAATGGCATGAAATCGATTTTAAAAAAAAATGATTTATTGCAATGAGAGAGTTGGAGGAGACCCTCATCTTTGTAACGATGGTCACTTCTTATCACAGGAACACAACTCTCTTATCCCGCGAACTACTAACCACTAATTAACACTAATTCCCTACTGATTACCCATTGATTGTTGATTACAGTCCTATATATATATACGCCTAAACGTTGTATCGCCATCGATCCCTGTCATGTGCTGGAGGAGGATAGCTTGCTAACGTCAAAATTACCTGCACAGGAAGTAGACGGGCAAAGAATTCTCATCTCCATTAATTGCTATCCGTCACATCTCAGCGACTGTTACCTTTCAAAATTACCTGCACAGGAAGTAGACGGACAAAGAATTCTCATCTCCATTATCTCCTCGACTGATAACTCCCGAGACGCATGCTGTACCAATGGCCTTCCACGCTTTGCTGTTAAAACGACATATGCTATTCCAAGAAAATGGGGATGACAGGGTGATGGAACCTATTTGGAGGCTGACTTGGCATTGGAAGAGATCGACCGGAGAGGATTGGAAGCTTGATGTGGAATGGACATGTTAAACTGTTGACAAATGAAAACAAAGCTAGAAGGAGTCTTTCTTCGGAAGCACACTGTCATTTATGCCCGACCTTTGTGGAGTCCATTGTTCATGTACTTCGTGATTGTCCAACCAGCAAGGAGGAGTTGGAGACCGTTCACACCATCACAACACCGACATGAGTTTTACCATACAGAAGGGAATTCTTGGGTTTTGAAAAATTTGTCCAGCCATGCAGTCACCAGAGAGGGATGGAGTTGGCCTATGGAGTTTGGGGTCACTCTTCGGCATACATGGAAAGCAAGGAACCAGAGAATTTTCAGGGAACAAGCTGAATTTCAATCAATCCATTTAGGGGGATGGAAATATCCCTTGTGGATGGTTGTAGCAAAGGTAACACTGAAAGTGCAGGAGCGGGGGGTTCATCCGGGATAGCTTGGGGGCCTGGATTAAGAGTTTTCAATTTTGACGTTTATTCTTCTTCCATTTATAGTAGCAGTCAATTTTGACGTTAATTTTCTCAAGTACTGATCACTAGCTATAAGTTGAAGACATATGCTCGAATTATAAGTAAAATGCACATGCATCTAATTAAATTAAGAAAAACAAATTTTAATTAGTTTGCAATTACCATAAAGCTTCTTATTGCCGCCCTTGAAAGGTCAACCAGTTGAAATGCTTGTCCAAGTTCTAATACAAAAAAAAATAAAAATGGCAACTTAACCTTTATCAACAAGTTGTAACGTGTATAAAGTCAGACCTGCCTTATATGAATATATTATTTCTACCAGTTGCTAAATCATGCATCCATTATATAAAAAATGTTACAGAGTCAGAGCAGACAAATGTAGCCGGCAAGACAGGTGCATGAAGCGAGACCTTAAAACCCTCCTCCCACTTGAAAACAGATGATGAGTGTTTTAATTAGTTGAAGAGTTCCTCCAACCACATTTGTGATAAGCCCACATGCTCTTAATTGGGAGAATATGGTCTGAGCCAATTAACCAAGGTCTTCTAATTAGTCAACTCCAAACTTTCCCTTTCATGATTGCTCTTGATAATGCCATGGCACTTACTGTACCCAACCCCCCCACTCATGCAAAGGGAGGCGTCCATCCTGAGCCTGGCCGAATTTAAATTGCCCAGTTACAGAAGAAGACCTTTCTGGTCAAACTTTGTCGTGTTTCTGGGCCTTCTATGTAATGCTCCGACCTCAGCTCCTGATTAAACGAACTTTAAGCAGATGACTGGACTGCGCACTGTGTAGAGTGAAACCGATTAGCCTGCATGACTGGGAAGTGCTGCTCTTGATCCTTATATAAGAGGTCATGTTGGGGTGCAAAATTCTGTTGGCCTTCAATGAAATCTTTAGCAAGAAAGTTCGAGAATAGATATGATTTCAGCTGGCAGGCCAAAATGGGAATGATAGCATATCCTCAAATTCTATAACCCTTGTCAACACTGAAAAGAGCATGGAGAAATATTACAATAATTGACATATTCATAAAGCATATATGGACACTTCATTGCAATAGCACCCCCTTCCACAGTCCAGTAAGTTGCTCGGGTGTTCCTGGGTCATTCCTACAAGTTTCTTGGGCTACCAACAACTAGCTGCAGTAGATGAGGGAGTCCAAAGAAAGATCAACATGGATCAATTATTGAAGACACAACTAGAATTAGCTAGGCACAAAATGCAACAAATTGCAGACAAAGGAAAAACAAAACAGAAAGGGAATTTGAGGTGGAAGATTTGGTATACCCTAAACTACAACCTCATAGACAAACCAATATGGCATTAAAAGAAGAGCATTAAGTTGAATCTCGGGTTCTATGGGCCATACAAAATAGTGCAAATGATTGGATGGTAGCATACAAGTTACAACTACCTAAAGGCTCCACTATCCACCTTGTGTTCCATGTGTCTTTGTTCAAGAAGAAGGTGAGAAGAGAAGATGTTGTAGTTTCGTCACTATTGCCGAGAGTAGATGGGTATGGAAGAGTTGAAGTTAGTCTAGTAGTCATTTTAGACAGGAAGATTGGAGAAAGACAATCGAGCTGTGATCATGGGACCAATCTGTTCAAAGAGGATGCCATGTGGGGAGATGTGGAGGAACTCACTAATCAATTCCCTGAATCTTGCATTGATTCTTGAGGACAAGAATCTTATAGGGAGTGGACTATTGTTACAGGTCTTGGAATTAGTTGACAGAGGAGGATTGGAGCAAGCTTAGCAAGAATAAAACAGTTGCAGCGGTTGCACTGGTCACCGAAAGCAGCAATTGAGCAATGGAAAAGAAGTTGGTCAGCAGTTAGCAATTTAGTTGGTAGTTAGTTAATAGTCACTTACAATCAGTTGTTAGTTAGGAAAAGAAGAATGACTTGAATAAATAAAGACTATTTCTTCTTTTCTCATTTCTTCCTTTTCTTTCTTTTAAAAACTCACACTGCTTGTTAAGAACTTAACAGGCGGGCGGTGATGACGATTGTCGTTGGAAAGCGGGAGCGGTGACAGATCCGCGATGGTGTGGACGCCGGTGTCTTGGGCTTTGGTCAAACCAGGAAAACACAAGGCACAAGCCGTTGTTTATTCTTCTTTTTTAAATTTCTTGTTCTTTCTTGTACCCTCATTCCCTAGTTGCTTGGAGAAAAAGGTTTCCTCGATTAACCTTTCACTCATTATTCTTTATTTCTTGTTTCATTTTCTTCACTTATGATTTAAAAATATATATATATATATATAAATACAAAAAGGATTAAAAACAAAAAATACAAAAAACAGTGACCGTTATAGAAGACGCATTTTTTGAGATTTTAATTTTTTTTTTTTTTGAAAATACATGAGAAGGGTCAGGCAAGCGTTTCATCATGCAGGCCAGAATAGATCATGCATGAACAGAATTGATAAAAGCACGTGTACAAGTACTGTTCAACACATTTTACATGTTATTGTCAACTACAAAATTCCTATGACCACTGTTATGGAGAGATTGAAACTAACTTTTGTAGTCGGACTATTTTTACCCACGAATAAACCGAGCTAAATCACTTTCTTTTCCTCTTTTTTTGGGGGCAAAAATTAGGAATGATCCAAGAAAAAACTTTAAATTAAAGATTTGCCCCAACAATGTCAGAACCGACTCAGCTAAAAGTATATTCACTTATGCACGCTTTTTTGTACCCCGCCCATGAAAAACAAATCCTCCAATGCCACACTTTTTTTTAACAAAAAAAAAAAAAAAAAACCTATATGTCAAAAGCTAAACTAACGGGGCCTTGTATTTGAGCTACGAAGCGTCACACCATGTAAAAATTTTGTATATCCAATTAAACTAAGCTTGCCATCCGAGTTTCTGATCCAATCTTTGATGAATGTGTAGGCTGAAGGGCCCACGTTCAATTCCTGCAGAGAAGACAGATTTAAAATGATATTCAAATAGCGATGTGTAGGTAGCACAAATCAAACGGCAGCAGTCGTATACATACCCTTGCCAATTCTTCAACTGAGATGACCCGGTTACCCTCCTGTTCAAAATGCTCAAAAGCAGCGGAGGCAATCTGCTCCCACCCCTCGAGAGCCTCTAGCTGATAGGTGCTGATCGCAGCTGCACAAAATTCTTCAAAGTACATCTTCCTATAAGCAAGGGATTCCATCTGAAAAAAAGAGGGACAATCAGAAAAGGATAACCATCAACTCTGAAGGGTTAAAAATCAAAACTATTCATAATCTTCAGAGAGAATGAAAAGAGAAGCCATTGCGTTTTAAGTGGATCGACAATCATAATTGGTGCAAGTAAACATCCAAATGCCAAAATAAAAAAGGCAGTGTATTTTTTGAGATTCAAATGCAAGAACTTCTTTCATGCAGAAAGAAAACTCATATTCAAATGCAAGAACTTCTTTCATGCAGAGAGAATGAAAAGAAAAGGTTTATATCTCTTTAAATTGCACTCAATATAATTCTTAAAATGCAGAGACAGTGACAGATGGTTATCATATTTCAAGCAGAGAACTAAATAAGAGTACCGCATTGAGAATTTCAGGAGCCCTCGACTCTCTCATGGCATCAGTTGCATTGCGTACTAAAGCCTGCAAGAAATTGTGTTTCTTTTATAGAAAAATTATAATCCCATAGTCCTGTATACTACTGAAATTGAATGAAATGGAAAGAGCAGTAACCATTCTGAAATTATCAAGTGAAACACTTCCATCGCCATTTGGTTCCAACAAACTAAATTGAGCTCGGAGATAGACAAGCTCATCCTCCGTCAATGCTTTTGAGAGAGCCTGCATAAGAAAGGAACCCAAAGAAATGTCAGCTGATATGCAATAGACAATTATCAATCCAACACTCTTAACCATTTCACATTTAAGCTTCAGCATAGTTGAAATATTCAGCCACGTTGATGATTATGCTTTTTGCATCAGAAAAAGCAGTAGTCAGTGAATAGGTTAGAAATAGAGCCAGACCTACAGTGAATAGGTTAGAAATAGAGCCAGACAGAGCTTCACTTATACCTAACAAATCATGGCTACTTTTACTTGAAGCAGCCCAGTCTCAAGATGCTTTGGACAATGAAAGCTGCTTTTAATTTATCTTTTAACAATATAGTGCCGAATTTAGTTTCAAATTCTGTTTTTTAAAAGAAAAAAGAAAGCCATGTTCTAAATAGTTTAGATACAAATAAGGATGTTTCAATCAAATATAAGATTAGGAATCCGCCACGTTGATGATTATATAAGGATTTTTGGTAATTAGATACAGAAATAAAATTTAAAAACTGCACCTCAAAAAAAAACATAAAAAATTTAGAGAGAGAGAGAACATCAAACTAGGGGCTGATGAATGTTTGAAGGTTCTCTGCAAATGGAATTCTTTAGGTAATGCAAAGTTTTAGTACTTAAGGAGTATAGTTAACGCTAAATGGTGAGCCTATTTGCACTTGGAACATATTTCCTCTCTTCATTACCAATTATGTTTCCCTCGATAATAAACTTGAGCTTTGAATCTACATGGTGAATAATGTTTTCACTATCAGGATTAAGATACAATACAAAATTCTTAAAGGAAGGCACACACATGCATGTGCTCTTGTTAACAAGGGAGGGTGTACCTTTAGCGCTGCACGTTTAAAAGGTGTAGCATGTAGGTATGCCTTGACTAGCTTGTAGATAAATATGTCTAAATTTATAGGTCGGCTATCATCCCTCAACCATGGGTGAGCTGCAATTACCAAGGTTTTCATTAGCTAAAAGAAATTAAGAAATAAGAAGTGTCAGTTGTAAATTTCTCAAGATCATCAAATTGTCAATGAGAAAATAAGATGCAACATGCAATATAGGTATAGACTAAATTGCATACGCATGTCAAACATCCAACTATTGCAAGTGATGTAAAATTTCCAAAATATTTAAGTCACTTCCACCTCAACCACCTTTAAGCAATATGGACACAACCAAATAGCTCCTGGAATAGTCCTTTTTGTTTAACTTTACAAGTGAGGATTGCTTCCAAAGGGGACCATTTAACATCCATCATCAATTAAAAAATACAATCCAGGATCCTTCTGATCTAACATACTGCAACTCATCCACTTTGGTTCTCCCATATACACTTTCGCATCACAGGAAAGAATGCCATAACCTTGTAGAAAGACTTGCAAAACCATCTAGGTATATCCATTGTTTTGTCAATGTTATGGGCATTTGTTATAATAAAATAATACAGGAATTACAAACTTACTTAGAGCTTGGACAGCAGTCATTCTTTTCCTGTAGTCCTTGTTCAGAAGTCTCTTCACAAAATCCTTGGCCTCTGGAGTGACAGAAGGCCAGGGTACATCTTCAAAGTTGGGATCAGATCTCAGCACTGCACGAAAAATCCCTGATTCAGTCCGTGCCCAGAAAGGCCGGCTTCCACATAACAAGATATAGGTAATAACGCCAATGCTCCATATATCTGCTTCAAGACTGTAACATCTATGCAAGACTTCAGGTGCAACATAGTATGCACTTCCAACGATATCATTTAACCTTTCATCTGCAAATATCACACAGAATAAATCATTAAAAACTCTCCAATATCAACTAATAAGTAAGAAAGTTAAAAATATTATAAAAGCCATATAGTTTAAACTAGAAAATCATGTGCACAAATAACATAGAAATCAAAAAATTGGAAGGCATACTCATGCTCTTATATTATCAAGGCTACCAGCCTGCATCAATTTAGCTTAATAATGTAATTAGCACAATCAAATCTAAACTATTGTCACAACACTTGTTGCATCAGTCAATAATGCATATAGATGTCTAGTTAACAGGCAAGGAACAAGTAAAGATAGCAATGGCAGAGAAAATAACCAGAGTAATCAGGCAAAAACTAAATCTCATCTCTGATTTAGGGACCCAACCCATTCAGTTAAATAAAACTAAATCAATCTACTTGTGGCATGGTGGAGGCAAGGATAGTATTTTCTGTGAGTTGACCAAAAAACATAGGAAGCTCTGCTTATTACCTGGCCTGATAAAGTCAGAGAGGCCAAAATCAATGAGCTTCATATCAGCATCTTCGCTGCCCGAAGTGAAGAGGAAATTCTGTAACAAAAGAGGCTCAGTTATGAGCAAGCATGGAATGAAAATTCCCCATAAACACTGTCAGCCCCCACCACCAATGACACCACCTTGTGATGATAAAACTTAATGCTAAAATGTTTACATGAAACAACAAAACATCAAGTTTATGAGGAAAAACACCTCTGGTTTTAAATCACGGTGTACGACGCCTTGAAGGTGACAAAATGCAACCACACACAAGATTTGCACAATTATAGCTTTTGCATCTTCCTCTGTGTATCTTCCTCCTCTGCAGCAGAGGAAAATGTTATGTTTATATCAGTACATAACACTTCAACCATGCAAGAACCATTCAATAGAACATACAATTTCGATCGGTTCTGCTCAGGGTAGGTGGATGATAATTTCACACCCAACATCCATCATGGTTATAATCCAAGGCCAAGGCAAGTAGTCAAAAAAAAAAAAATTATAGTCAATCACCCGTGCAAAGACTATTGCATTACCTTGCCAAAATTCTGTCTAGAAGCTCCCCTCCCTCACACAATCTGATAAGCAAACAGTAATCCACCAAACATCAGAGATAAAAGTTCAAAATTGCACAACACAAACAAAAGTCAAGACTTCTACCCAAGCAAAACATTCCAAAAAGTGCCATTTACAAATCCTGCAGGAGAGAAGCTAAAGAAAAAGACACAAAGTTGACAAAGCTCAATTATATTTCATGCATAACTTAGAACAGAAAGTAAGAAAAGACATACTCCATCACTATGTACACGTTATTGGCATCCTCACATGCATCATAAAATTTGACCAGATGCCTATGTCCCGATAGACCTTTCAGTATTTTTACCTCCCTACGAACATCTTCGATTGATATAGCGGTTGTCATCTGCCAAACAAGTCTTGTGAAAATTTAGATATTACACAATCCATAATGCAATTAATCCTAATTAAGAGAAGAATTCAGAATTTCATAAATCTGATCACTGCACATAAAAGAAATGAGTAATAACTGAAGCTATCAAGGAAAACAACCAAGGATCGGATTTAGAAATACAGGTTTAAGAGGAAAACTTTGATCATCAGCATATACAGACACATTTGATGAAGGAAAGGCCACAGAATGTCTGTCATACACTGGCACGAGCAATTGGCATTGCCCAGGGGGGTAGATTGCCTTGGGTGTTCACATGCACCCATGAGCACGCATTCAAGAACATGTGTGTTATTATGAATATGTACAGTGTCAAGTGAATGACAAGTTAGCAATTGAACCTCTTTTAAGATTCCAGTAAGGAAAGGGCTCAGGGGGGTTATAAAACAGTGTTTAAAAGAAGAATGTAAAGAAAAGCAGGACCAATAAAATGAGTTGCCAATGTAAATGAAATACAGCAAGAAATTCATTTCAAGGCGCAGTGTGCAATTAAAGAGGGTTGAATGATCACTTTGCACGAAAAGAAAGTAATTACAGGTTTAACTACCGACCATGTAAACAAATTCAAGATGCAACAGAAGATTAGAAAGGACCTTGAAATAGAACATTTATAATTCTGAGTGTGTTTGTGCATACTCGCATCTGTAAATGTCTTCAATACAAAATGACAGATTAAGATAAAACAGTGTTTAAAAGAAGAATGTAAATGTAAGAAAAGCAGGACCAATAAAATGAGTTTCCAATGTAAATGAAATACAGCAAGAAATTCATTTCAAGGCGCAGTGTGCAATTAAAGAGGGTTGAATGATCACTTTGCACGAAAAGAAAGTAATTACAGGTTTAACTACCGACCATGTAAACAAATTCAAGATGCAACAGAAGATTAGAAAGGACCTTGAAATAGAACATTTATAATTCTGAGTGTGTTTGTGCATACTCGCATCTGTAAATGTCTTCAATACAAAATGACAGATTAAGAAAACTATTACAAGTACATATTTGATAGTCCAAAAGTAGGATGCCTAAGACCTATGAAGCATGATACATTATACATTTCCATGAAGGTATTAAAGATATCTGAATTCTTTCCATGAATATCTGTATTGGATAGTTTTCACAAAAACAACACATTTCCAATGAGATTCAGTTTTAGCTAGTGAACCATTGATCTGGTTAATAGAACTCGTGTCATGAAACTAATTCCACTCACATATTGTCTGCATTTTCACAGAAGAATCGAAGAATTTGAGAGTTAGTTATTCTCTAATGCATGGCAATATAAACAAGATCACGCCATATCAAGTCCTATTTATCTTTCCAGGTCATCCTCACTGGAGTTTGATCTTTGATGACACAATTAAAGCTGAGAATGCTGTTTGTAAGTGAACTACCCTTTCTTTTATGCTTTCAGTATTTGAATGCTTATGTGCTGCAATAATACAAGTGAACTCAATAAGTATCATCAAATTTGCAAACTCTGGCAGGGAAATATTCTCATTACTGTTTCTCTCTTCAGAAACAAAAGGCTAGGCAAAGACATGAATCACCATAAGGACTAAGTAAGTTTGTGTTGCCATACTGTCACCGCTCATAAGCTCATACAATGCTTTCATATCAGTATCAGATGCTGATAACCACATCCATGTGTGTCATCCTCATCAATATACAATTAACATCCTTAAAAGTACATAAATTTAGAGACAGATAACATCAAATTAAAACTCAGACTGATCTTTATCCCTTTTCTTAAGCTCTAAATGATACACAATTACCTTAGGTGCTTAGTTATTTTGTAGAATTTTTTTACCACTATGGATATTCCCTAAACAAGGAAAGCTCGAGCATCAAACATTTTTTCAATGCCAACTTCCAGGTCTGCAAATGGAAAAAAAATCAGCATGACCACAATCAGATTTCATTTATTGAACTGCATATCCTTACTCAAATATATTGTCCATTCACCCTACACTCTTCATTAAAACCCGTGTAATATATCCTCTTTGATCTTCCAAATAATGCTTATGAAGTAGTTTCTTCTCCTAGTGCCTTCAGTTACATTTCAGTTTCTGACACAAACTGTTCCAAGCAGATACATAGAATCATTATCGGATAGTGACTAACACGCCTATGTCCCTTCCATTCTTCCCAAAATATTCACATCCATATTTTCAGTCACGAAACAAGCTAAGTTTGACTTAAGTAATCCATACAGCCTTTCAAAATTCTTGCAACACATGGCAGGAATACATTGCTGATAACCATACCTCAAAATTCTCATTGTATTTTCCACTTCCACGTTAACAAGTATTCAAACCCCTAAAAAAACGAATATTGTTCCATTCAAGTAGGCAGCACAGCCAAACCTAGCCCGAGAGTTGCGGCATCTTGCCAGTATCTTGAATAACTGACAAAAATTAGCCCTAACGCATCAACAAGTTAAGCACAACGTCTATTAATCTAATTACAAAAACAAACCCCTCGTTAATCAAATTGAAAAAATAGGAATATATATTAATCTAATTACAAAAACAAACCCCTCGTTAATCAAATGGAAAAAATAGAAATGAGAGCAATGAATTAGTACCTTAGCTTTAGATATAATCTTGACAGCAACAGTCTGATCTTTAAGTTCACCTTTCTTAACCGTAGCAGAGCAAGTATGACCAAAATGCCCTCTCCCTATTTCCTTCCCTAGCTCGTACCTAGCTCCAAAATTCTTGCTATATCCAAAACTCTTATCCAGTGACTGCTGTTGCTGTTGCTGCTGCTCCGCCTCCACTCCACCATGCTCGGGAATCGGTCCCTCCTTCGGTTTCCCTCCACCACCAAGCCTCTTAACCAACGACGCCGCTATATGCTTCGCCGGAGACGGCGGAGGAAACGGCCTCCTAAAAAATCTCCTCGGCGTCGACGCCCTCGCCGGGGACGGCGACACTCCACCGGGAAGCGGACTTGCGGCCACACCATGTGGATACGTACTCGGCCAGGGGCTCGGATGCGTAGAGGAGGACCTCGCCGGAGTGTTTTTCACCGAGAGCACGCCGTTACGCGAGGTGGATGAAGGTAACGACGTTGGTTGGTTGTGATCGGTGGAGGAAGCAACGATTGTGAAGGTTGTTGCGTCATTTTCGTTAGCTGGACTGGTTTTACCGTAACACTGCCCCATCAAAAGAAATCTTACAGTCTCAGTTAAAGTCCACGCATCGGACGGTTAGTGAAATATTTCTCCTCCGGATCTGATCTGATCATCACCGGAGAGAAAATAAAGAGAGGGAGAGAGAGGGAGGGGGGCAGGGAGAGATCTGAGTTAAGAAAACGATAAAAGAAGAGAATGAAAAGAGAGTTTTAAGTCAGAGAGAGAGAGAGGAAGAAAGACAAAGGGTTAGTTAGTTTTTGCAAGAAACAATAGAAAATGACAAAATAACACATGTACATATGTTATTTTATAAAGTGTTTTTTATTTAAAATAATTATTTTTTTATTTTAAATATTAATACATTAAAATAAAACGAGTAAAAACTATATTAATTTAAAAACTTTATAAAAATATAAATGTTTAAGAAAATCCAGTGCGCCGTAGATAGCACGCTAGTGAAGCAACAGTAGAAGCAGAAGAAGCGAAGAAAGGAAACTATCCGAAGGAATTAAATAAATTCTCGCTTAAAAATGCAAAAAGTTAAGGATTAATACTCTGCCGTTGGATTTGTAGAATCAACTCTATTATACTCATAGAGAGAAACGAGTAGAGTTTTTCTCTGTTTTTTTTTTTTTTTTTTGGAGCTTGGTTGATAATGTTATAAATATTATTTTTTTTAAATGTTTAATTTGAAAATATATTAAAATAATATTTTTTTATTTTATAAAAATTTATTTTTATTATTAGAATATTAAAATATCTAAAAATTTAAAATTTAAAATAAAAACTTTATTATTAGAATATTAAAATATCTAAAAATAAAAAAAAATCAAAAATACAGTTTAATCACACTTGGAATCAAACCCTTGCTTTCAAATAGAGAGAATATTAGAAGTTGGATAAAGTAATGTACTTCGAACCAGTACTCATCACTTTTTTATATCTTTGTGAACCAGTTGTCTGTCTCTCGCTCCCTGACTGTCAATTTCTTCCTCTCTTTTTAACCAGATTAGAGTCCAAATCTACTCATCTTGATTTTGAGCTTATTCTTCAGATACGGAGAAAACGTGTTTTCTGTCTAATTAGCCGTTTAACCGGCTTTGCCTTCAAACTTTTCCACCGGAGACGTACAGATAAACTTACCATATTAATTCATAATAAACTGCATCTGTTACTGTAGTAAATTCAACAAGCGTTTAGAGTTTTGTTAAAATTACACACGCGGAAGGATGCTGAAGAGTGAAGACTAATCCTGAGATTTTGTAAATTTGTTATTTCACAAGTTTTTCCCCTCAACGAGCTCCGGTGGTCTTCTTTTCCTCCCATATAATCTGTCCATTTTTTGTCTCTTGCTACTTTTTTATTTATTTTTTTACGTTATTTCTATTTTTTAAATTAAAAAGGAATTTTATGGATAAATGAGAATTTTTATTATTCAGTGATTTCAGAACTACGTATGAAACCGTGCTGTCATTAATTACAAACTCTTTCTTTTTTCAGGCTCAGAAAATATCTCCTCGTGACTTACAAATATGCCTATTCAATGAAACGTGGCTCTGTTTTGTAGGTTACGAGCGAGCGTGTTTGAAGTGTGGTAGTGGGTATTATTTAAAGTGTTTTTTATTTAGTAATATATTAAAATAATATTTTTTTTATTTTTTAAATTATTTTAACAATAATATATCAAAATAATTTAAAAATATTAATTAATTTTCTGAAAAATATTTTAAAAATACAAGAATAAACAATATAATCTGAGCCGAGAAATGTTGACAGCTAAACCTGGCCCGAAGGTTCCAAATAAACGAGAATTCGCCACTTCGGTGATGCTCACATGCGGGGTTGGTATGAGGTGGCATGATATTAGCAGTTGAAAACTGAAATAAAATCTCCATAAGTCTTTGAGAGGTTAGGTAATTTTAATCAAAAGAGAAGGTGTGTTTTGATCTGATGGTATCGGTTGAGTTTTTGTTTTTTTTTTTTTGTTGATTATTAGAATTCAAATTTCCAGAGTTATTATTTAAATGAATAAAAATAAAAAATACCAACTTACATGAGACGCTGTGGCCTCAGATACAAAGCATTGTGACTGAAACATTATATTTATATTTCCTGCTCTTCTGTACAATACAGAATGGCCTAGCTGATGGGTACGATTATCTTTTCAAAAAGATTTATAATATACACTTATATTTAGCACAATAAACTCTATCACCTATTAAAATCAGATATGGTTTTTCTTTATGTTTTCAATTTTTTGGAACCATAAAATAACATTACTAGCCTTGGAAGCCAAAAAAATATTATTCTTATAAAGAGGGCTTTTTTATCCTTTTATGTTTTGAGCATATTACAAAGACATTCTTGCTCTTAATGTACATACATTGTGTGTTGTGTGTGTGTGAAATAAGGTTGTGTGAAAGGGCGTTGTCATCTTTTCATTATGTTTTTTTATATAATATAAAATTGCACTTGGTGGGTAATTTAACAAATATTAAAACTAATAAAAAATATATTAGTTGCGAGGAAGCCCTTGACACCTTTTTAGCAACGCATGAGGGCCACGCGGTAACCATATGCTAGCTTTCATGATGAAGTTTTAATTGTCTCAACAGTTCCTCCACATTGCAGCAACTCGTGTGCCCATCCTGTCTCGGGTTTTGCTCTAGTGGGTTTATATATATATATATATTTGAATATGACAATTGAATTTTAAAAAAAAAATTAATTATTATTTTTTTACTTTAATTTTTATTTTTTTATATTAAAATATTTATAAAATTATTATTTTTAATTTCATTAGTTGTTTTATGTGTTAAATATAATATTTATTCTTCTTACTATTTATTTTATATGAGATAGTTTTTAAAATTAAATTTGTTTTGTAATTTCATCATTTTATATTTTGTATTTTATCGTGTTTAATCTATATTCTTTTATTTTAAAAAAATTTGATAATATTTTTCATTTGATAATTTTTTCTGGTTATAACCTTAATTATAAAACTAATTGAGAATTAAATTTTTTATTGAATTTAGATTTAAAAATTAATAAATTACAAATTTAAAGAATCAACTTATATTTAGGAGATTCATTAGGGTTTAATTGGTTTTTTTTAATCTTATATTTTTTTTATTTTTTAACATTTATTTAATTTTAGATTGGGTTATGTATTTTTTATTTTTAGGCTTTTATTTGATTTTTTATTAATTTTAAAAATGATTTTGATCATCTTACTTTTCAATATCGAGTTATTTGGTAATTAAATTTTATAATTTTATTTAATTTATTTGTATTTAAATTACCTTGATTGTGCAAAAAAATCTATCTTTATTAAGTTTTTAATTGTTTATTTATTTTTATTATATTTTTTTATTTATGTAGTTAAATTCATAAAACTTATTAAATCAAGTAAAAACAATGATTCGAATCTTGATTCTTTGAAAAAAATAATAAACATACTAGTATCATATTAGCATTTTTATATTTAAAAAGCTAATCATGTAAAAAATTATCTTTGTGTTTAAAAATTTAGCAAAATTTAATTAAGTGTTTGAGAGCATGATTATCAACACTTACAGGCTGAAATGTACAACATCATCATGATTTCTTGGTCCAGTCATCATTAATTTCTGAACTAAAAGTTCTATGCCATTGGTGCTCGAATTAATTGCTTCGTGTAATTTAATTCATCCACGTGATCCGTTGTTTACTAACAGTTTCCGTTACTAGCGTAGGCGAACACGTGAGTTCACGTGTTCCACTCTTCAACTCCTCTCTCAACAGCAGTAATTATAAAATAAAAAAATACTCTAAAACCATAGTTCAAAATACCAACTTTTTTCATCACTTTGGTTCCGAGTTAATTCGTGGCTATTTTTATCATGCTCTAAAACCGTAGCCGTTACTTTTGAATTATTAATCTAGACTCAACAGACAATATGAATCATGAATAAAATACCAACTTTTGTTTTAAAACTTTTCTTAATAATAAGAACCTTAACTAATCAAATTGTTTGAGCAAATTGAATCTATCACTCGGGTAACAAATTTAATTGATTAATTTTGTATAGGCAGGTCTAGACTTGATAATTTATTTTGTTGCATCAATATTTTTTAATTTATTTAATTATATATATATAATTTTTGAATTTTTTATTTCAAAAACACATGGTAAATTTATATATATATATATTAAAAAATAATATTCAACCCACATGATATAGGTTAAATAGTAACAACTAAAAAGAGTGGCGATCTGGGTAATCCAAGCAGCCAAACTTAAAAGAGTGGCGATGTGGGTAATCCAAGCAGCCAAACTTGATGTAAAAAAGTTCTATTTAACAAAAAAATTCGATAATTATGGTTTTTTTAATTCATCTTAAGAAAAAAAATCAGGCTCGAGATATTTTTTTTATTTGATTTTATTTTGGATCATTTAAAAAGTGTTTTGAGTTGAGAAATATAAGATACCTTTTAGAATAAGATTGATATATTAAATAATTAATTAATCTTTTAGTTCAAATAATTTAATTTATTTTCTGTTATCTATATATTTAGCGACTTGATATGCAAAGCCTAGAGGGTTGGTAAGTAATAGCAGATGATGTTAAACCAGTGATTGATTATTGATACTTGCAAAAGTTTTTTAGGACGTGGGGACTTTTCAATGATAAAATCAATAATTTTATTAAAAAAATACAATAATATCATAGAAGATATTCTAAAAATACATAGACGGTTGAAAATGAAAAAATTAAAAACTTTTATTTTTTAAAGGTTTTATGATATATTTATAACTTACATGTTTTGTCATTTTATGAAAAGAAAGGACTGGAATGTAATTTTATGTATTATATTAATATAAAATATTGAGAAACCTGTGTAGAATTTGAGAAAAACATCATGATAAATGTTGAATTTAAATAAGATATCCAAGTTTATTAGAGATAAAAATAGATTCAGGTGCGTATCCTCGATCAAAATATATTAAACGTAAGTAAATCATTATTTTAGAAATGATCGGAGCAAACTTGCCCCAACTGGAAATGTTTCCAACTGTCTTTTTGGTCATGTTGAGCGTTCCTCCTCGACTTCAATCCATCATCAAATACATTAGACGTACGTGCATAAACTTTAAATCTTAGTAACGATGAGTGGTTATTATTCAACCGCTATAAATATATAGAGATTGATACATAATTAGGTAGGAAGAGTTCCCAATCCAGTTTGGAGCCCGTGA